ATAATACCTTAAAATGACAACAGACGCAAAAAGGATCACTACGGAGCGGTCAGAAAATTTTTTGCTCGGTAGCAAAAGTTCCTACCGGGAAGTAAAGTTTGCTATCGGTCAAGGGTTATCCAACCGTTCACGAGTGCAAGCCACTGAGGTTTGTTAGATAGTCTTTGCCTCGATAACAAAGTTCCTAAGGGAAAGTGAAGCTTGCTACCGAACTAAAGATTATCTAACCATCCACTAGTGGAATCTCCAAAGGATCAAGACTTCCAGTGTTCAAATTTGCATCATTCGCATTCGAACAGTGGGGGGGGGATGATACAAGAATATGGAATTAACTACCACATCAAACGAGACTACGAAATCCGAGAAACAATTTTTATCATCGGGATCGGGGACTACACGGCCAGCCCCGTAGAAATAAGTTATACAAATTAGCCACAAGTAATGGCAATTTCTTTTTAGCATAACGAATGCTTATGTACTTTTGGAAATAGAAGGAATAAAGTGAAGTCCTTTTATTTTTATCTTGTTTCTTTTCTAAGCGATGAATTAATTTTATCATTTGAAAGTTAATCAAGTACTTCAAATGCTAGTGCCGTAATGAACAGGAGACGTCCTCTTCAAAAGCACCGTAAATATAAGAGGGCTCTCTCTTATGAAACCCTCAAGGTAAAAGGTTGATTCCGGAAGAACTTATGCCTGGAATCCAAATGCTCTTGGAGAAAAATAGAAAATACACCTAAAGCCTTGCATAATTCGACGCAAAGAGAAAAACTTGCGCAAATGCTTAAACGAAAAGTACACAAATAGAAAAACTTGCACATACTTAAACGAAAAGATACCTCTATTCACAGCAAACATGCCAAGAAGCACAAATACAAAGATATTAAAAAGAAAAGAAAGCAAAAAGCTACACTACTGCACCTCCGAAATCCAGAGGAAGAGAAGCATCGGCACCCTCGGGAGAAGTAGGCGGATCCGCCGCCGGCTCAGTATCTTGGCCTTCACCATCTTGGACTTCGGCATCATCACCTTCCGGTTCTTCTTTAGTTCCCGAAAACTTAAAACCGAAACCAAAAGAGTCGGTAGCATCAGGATGGATCGGAAGGTTCCTTCGGGCAGTTAACTCCAGCTCACGAGCCTTAGCAATTTCGGCATCAAAGTCAATGACGCCTGCTTTGGCCTCTTCCTTGGTTTTTCTCCTCATGATATACATAGAATATGTTTCTTCAACAATGAGGGAATTTGCTCGGCGCTGGATTTCTTCTTTAAGATGGTCAACCTCGGTTGAAAGGCTATCCCGCTCGGATCTAGTGGCCTGGAGGCTTACATCGAGGTCACGGATAGTGGAGTTGAAGACTTTATTGTGCTCTATGACTCTCTTATGCCTCTCTTCCAATCGGGTATACTTCTCCTCCGCTGCAGTGGCTTTTCAGATTTGGAGTCCAAGGCCACCTCCAAATAACTCAATCTTTTAGTAGAGGCAGCCTCGCGATTGGATTAAGCAAGAATGACATTGTGGACCTCGACCCACTTTGCCCTTGCTTCTTCAAATTGTACCTTTAACCGGGCAGTCTCTTGGCTAAGGGTAGTCACTACCTCTTGCTCGCTTTTCTGCAACCGAGCCTCCAATTTAGCAGCCTCAGTAGCTCATGCTTCCAGTTCCGGGAGACGAGTAGTAACTTGATCTCGCTTGGCTAACAATTGATCCCGCTCGGAGGTAAGTTCCTCCTTATCAAGAATCAACCTCTAAGGCCCTCAGAAGCAAGGAAGTCAGCCTGCAAAACAAAAATGCTCACTCAATACCCTTCCATAACAAAGATAGAAGAAATAACAGAGGAAATAAAGATTATACCGCCGTTGCATTGTGCATGGCATTGTTCAACAAACACTCTCCCGAGAGAGTTTGTATTTATTCCTATCTTTTTTTGAAGCTAGAGGCTTCAGATAATTAGCAAGTTCCATCTGCCGGGACAGCAGATGGCATCCGGTAGAAACTAAAAGGGTGACGTTCCTCCTCCTTTGGGGATCTTCGGAGGGGGCAGAAATAACTATGCCCCAAATTCCCATGAACTGGGGACTGGGCAAAACGTACATCTTCCTCTCGGACAACTGCGGCCAGTGGAGATTATGTACCAGTTGATGGTGGCAAAGGAAGAGTTGGTGAAGAAGGAGATGAAGTTGATGGCGTTGCAGGTTGCAAAGCAGCTGCGGCAATAACAATGTTAGTTGTTGGTTGCTCATCAAACGAAGACGTGAGAGACCCGGTACCCAGCCTCATGGTACTGGGAACAACGATGGGACTCGGAAGGGAGAATTGACATCTTCCACTACATTATACTCCCCCCTAGAGTGTTAAGGCCTCATCCTCAGTTGGCGTAACTAGCTCAACAGATTGAGCATTCTGCTAAGCTGATGAAGGTCGTCGTCTTCTATGTAGAGAAGCCCCCTCATCACTGGCTTCTCCATCATCGTCGATCACCATGGTGTCTACGGTCGGCTCGGTCACGGCACTCATCACCACAGCATCCATGGACGGCTCGGGTATGGCACCCATAGCTTTTTTATTTTTTCCCCCGGCCGCGGAGAAACATTGCCTTTTTGGTGGCTTGTTCTCTGGACGTGGACTTTGAGAAGAAGCACTTGTACCAAAAGCGAGCCCCGAGATGCCTGTTTGGGTGAAAGCCTCATGTAGCAGCCTCGCCGCATCAGCAGGATCAGCCAAAACGTCCTTCTCGGGGATGACAACTGAGCCCTGGGGTAGACCTGAACTCAACAGGAGAGAAAGGTTAATCAATTTTCCTATATGAAAGGTAAAAACAAGTTGAGTTCGACCTACCATGATTTTTGTCCTTCCACCCATATTTAAGGGTCTTTCTACGTGCAGGTCTCGTACGTAGTGACATCCAAATTATTTTGGACCCACTAGCCCAAGCCTTCAACCCTAGGTGGTGTCCATCCAGTCGCTGAAATAAGTGAAAGAAGAAGGAGAAGTAACAGCATGGGGCGGTCTTTAACTAGAAGAAAAGATAAACGACGAACTTACGAGTACGGTTCCATAATTTCGGAAAGGATGGAGTTGTGGTCGGAATGATGTCCCTGGTGGCAACTGCAACAAAGTGTTCCATCCACCCACGGTCGTTGTCATCATCCATGCTAGTTAGAAAAGCATGGTGGCCACATTTTTTGAAATTTATCATTCCCCCGTAGAATATCTTGGTGGAATAAAGGTTCATTCATCGAGCCAGGGATAGCTCTTCTTTTGTCTCCTCGCATAGATGCCAAAGACAAGCAACTGTCCTCCACACAGAAGGACTTACCTGTACCAGGTATACCTGGTAACGGATGCAAAAATCCACGATAACGGAGTCAAGCTCCCCGCTCAAGGAGAACGGTCCCAAAGTGAAGGGATACAAGTAAAAATACGTGAAGCCCTTCTTGGGTAAGGTTACCCGCTCTATCAGGTCAGGAGCAGCGATGTTTAAATCATGGCAACAACAGTCTTCCTTCACAACAGGAATGCTGGAAGGATGGATGAAAGAATGATACACGCCAACAGCCCGTATGCGAGGGTTAGCGGAAGGGTACTTCTCTTCGAAGTCCTTAGTTGTGATGAGTTTTCTTGTAATAATGTTGCTCTCCTTGGGAGAGCATCATCAGCACTACCTTTATTCTTTGAGGAACTGGGATTTCTGGAAGAAGAGGCCATTATTATCAGAAGGGAGAAAAAGGCTTTTTCTAAAGAAGAAAATTAGAGAAAGTTAAAGACAAGTATGAGCTGAGTAAAGAGAGTTTGGAAAGTTATGAAGTGTAAATGGAGAAGTTTGATGCGTATTAGCAAAGGAATAGACGGCTAAAATCGTGGCCATAATTACCTCGATAACCAGCAAAAGCATTGCTGAATCGTGGGATGACGCATGTTCGGGGCATTAAATAGGAGAGACGTGCGTCTAATCAACTGTCAAAAACTTTTCAGAGGGGTCAGAGACTTTCCCGCCAAAAAAGTATCTTTACCAACTTTCCGATGACACAAGGTTATGCCACCGAAAAGCAAGGGGGCTATCTATATAGGGTAAAATATATTCATATTAAATGATCACATGAAAAAGCGACACGTGGAGTCGAAGATAGAAGACAGTTAGGTCTGCCGACAACGATCTCGAAGAGAATGGTATTCATAAAGGCGAATTAAATACCTATCACCCGGTAGCATTTAATGGAGAATATTCTATAGCATTAAGTGCACGGTCCGTTATAGAGAATATGTCATTCACTGCCTACCGTTACACGTTCTTCAATGGCCCTCATAATTGTCATTTAAGAGGGGCTTGATTCTAGGACCTTGTTCCCTAGGTGCAACTATAAATAGTAAGCTCTACAGTCATTGTAAAGGACACGGATTTTCTGACAAGCTAATACTATACTCTGTTCAAAAGCTCAATAATATTTTATCTTCTTGTTTATTAATACTGTTACTACTGTCTCCAGAAGCTCTGCTCCTGGAATCAAGATTGCTATTGTCTTATCTCGATTTCAACGCTAAGTCATATATCCTTGTCTAATTTATTTATCATTTTGGGGTCAAGTCGATTCACTTGTCTATAAACTACGTATAAATTCAACCGTACTATTTTACGGGTAAACAATATAATCAAAAACTAATAATGCAAATATAGAAGTTCATAAAAAGATCTACTTATAGGATGAATGAAGAATTTTTATTAATTTTTTAGCTTGTTATAGTCGAGATAGCGGGTGCCACGAAAATAGAAGAGGTACGAACAAACAATTTCCAATTCCTTCCAAGTCAAATTGACCAATCAACGACCATTCAAAATTCAATACCCGAGTAGGGAGGGGAAATGGGTAACAACTAACAAGTCCTTCGATCCCGCGTCTTTCTCGCTATAAACTTTTCTAAAGGAAAAAAACATAAGGTAAGACTGTACGTAGAAAATGAAGACAAAAAATATAAGACCAGAGAACACATTATATAAGTTATTTACGTATTAAACGGCCAATGTTTGTGTGTGGATGTGTTGGGGGCCATTAAACAGACAACAAATATTGTGAAAAAAAGAAAGAAGAGAAACAACAGAAATATACAAACAAGAAGAAAACCTTTAAAAATCTCCCCCAACCACAACGCCACCACCAGCAAAAACAGCAAAAACAAAAGCAAGAAAAGGAAAAAAGAAAAAAAAAACCATTTTCTTGTTTTTTTTTCTCTCTTCAAATTTTGTTTGTTTTGTTTTTGTTGTTTCGACTCCACCAGCAAAGAAAGTTTTTTGAAGAGCTGCAACTGGTGGGTGCTGGTTTTTTCTGAAATTGATTTTTTTTTTTTTTTTTGGGATTAATTTGAGGAAATATTAAATATATAAAGATGGCAACTTTAGATATTTCGAAAATGTGGAGGGATCCTGGAGCTCCGGCTGATTCATTTTATCAAGTTCGCCCTGAATGTACAGATGTTCCCAAGTCCAAGTTTAGAATCAAGGTTTGTATTTTCTGCACACCTATATTATCACCATTGCTATATTCTTTCTGTTCCAATTTATGTAACATAGTTTGACTCGACACAGAATTTAAGAAAAGAAAAATGAACATGACATAAGATATATCTGCCTATAAGATTTTTGAAACTTGTGGTGTCATAATACTTGTGTGGTTATAAAACCTTTTTTTTTTTTGAAAAAATAGTAAAATAAAAAGTTTAAGATCAATTGTTTCCAAATACACAAATGTTACTTTTTTTTAAGAGGATTTCCTCCCCTTTTTCCTTTTTTTTTTCTCTTATTTTTGTTGAGATGTGCACGTGCATGTTTCAGCTTGTAAAATCTTTAAGTTTATATTCAGTGTAGCAGTTAGTAAACGTAGTTGAACTTGATCTAAGGGAACAACTTGGAGCGAGACATTCTTTTCGCACTATTACGGATATGAAAATAATGGTCAATTACAAGTTTTGTGTTGGGGTTGGGAGGGTAAAGTGTATGCAGACCGTTAATCCATATAGTACTAGTAGTAAGTCATAGAGAATTGTGTTGCAAGAAATACTAGGACGAAAGAGGTAAGAACGGCCTCTTATTCTGGTTGTAGGTATGTATGTATGTCCTCATTATATATTGTCCGGAGTAGTGGCGGAGCCACCTTAGGTTAAGGGGTGTCAATTGGCACCCGTTCGCCAGAAAATTACACAATGTACCTAGGTCAAAAGTTTATTTTTATGTATATATACACTATATGTTGAATCCTCTTAGTTTCTTGGTGTGTTTACTCCTTTGATATCCCTTAATGAAATTTCTGGCTCTGCCATTGGTCCGGAGGCTGGACAAGCATTTGAAGACACAGAGGAGGTGTTATACTTTTGACTATCTCTGCTGTTGTTTAGCTCTCAAAAACTTGATCTAATTTGTCCGTTTTCCGCGACAACTCTGAATCTAATTTTATAAGATTGGTCAGAATTTCTGATGATACTTTCCTGGCTATAAGTTTTATGCCTCACTACATATCCCTGCTCCCCTTGCTTTCATATGTTCTACTCATGTTTTACTATCTAACATTCTACTTATATTCAGAATGGAAAAACTCTAAGCGCAAGAAAATGGCGTGCTGCATTTTCCCCTGAAGGTTATCTTGATATAGGCAAAACACTTGGTCGAATTCATCGTGGGGTAAGCTTGACTTTTTGTCATGTTGGCTCTTGTCTATTGATCTTTTTATAAAACATTCTTTGTGGAACTAATGGTGTTACATAGTTTTAGTCTTTCCTAAACTAATTCTAGGCGAGACGATTATTATGGTAAAATAGTAGACGATTTTACATGTATCTGTGACATTTTAGGGAATTCATCCATCAATTAGAGGTGAAGTTTGGGAATTCTTACTTGGTTGCTATGATCCAAAGAGCACGTATGCAGAACGAGAGGATATACGAAAGCTACGGAGGTACTTTACTTTCTTTTCAACAAAAGTATAGAAAATGCTTATGTGTTGTCTAAATCCTTATAATGCATAATCATCAGGACACAATATGCTGTATTAAAAGAAGAATGCCGCACAATGTTTCCGACGATTGGAAGTGGTAGATTTATTACTGCACCTGTAATAACAGAAGATGGTGATCCCATTTTAGATCCTTTAGTACTTCAAGAGGCAAGTGCAGCGAAAGAAGCGTCTTCAGCTAGTCAAGCAAATGGTAATCTTGAAGATGTAGAGTTCTCAACTCGTCTTTTCATTTCTCTTTTTCTCTGTTTTTCTTCTATATATGGCTATAGGGTTGTTGGACGCATATGGTGTTGAGATTTAATCGTCGTTTGACCATGCAAAAACAGGTGATTCCAGTGGTTTTGATATGGTAAAGGAGCATGACAAAAGAGTAATAGAGTGGAAACTCTCATTACACCAAATAGGTTTGTTATTTATATAGATTTCACTTTACTTTTCATAGTCAATCTGCAAAAGTCTTCGTCTGCACACAGTTTTCAGTTAGGCAAATCAGGATTCGAGGGATGCACTACAGATGTATCTTATCAATACGAGGATACTTGTCGGCTGTGTTGCTCAGACTCTCCAAAAATGCTGCGGCACCTACGTTGGATCTTCCAAAAATGCACTACTTTTGAAGGATCTGACATTTTTGAAGAGTCTGAGCAACATAGCTTATCGGTTTCCTTTCTCTTCACATTGAAGATTTCTTTGTTTATGTTTTATAACCTTTCATTCTTGGCTTTGTACTTGTGCTAGGACTCGATGTAGCTCGCACGGACAGGTCACTCGTCTTTTATGAGAAACAAGAGAATCTATCAAAGCTTTGGGATATCCTTTCTGTTTATGCTTGGTTTGACAAAGATGTTAACTATTGTCAAGGTCCGTTTTGTCGCAATATCTTCTTGAAATAAAATGTTTTTGACTATCTTGGTTTCTCTTTGATCGTACAGTTACTGAGAGATCTTGACATTGTTGAACAGGTATGAGTGATCTTTGCTCGCCCATGATTATTCTTCTTGACGATGAAGCAGATGCGTTCTGGTGCTTCGAACGTTTAATGAGAAGACTGGTACATATTTACAATCTTTACTGAAACAGCATTCTTACATTATATCTAATAATACCTTACTTCTCAGATATGTATTTTCCGAGTATTACCTTTATGCTCATTGTTCCCCGAATTTTCCTGAATACTATGTTACATTTTGAATAACATCTTCGGTTATTTGCATTACTGTATGTTTTATGTTTTTGCAATTCTAATGACTGATACAAACTATCGTGCCAAATTCCAAAGAGAGGAAATTTCAGATACACCGAGAGTTCTGTTGGCGTAGAATCGCAGCTAAATAATTTAGCTTCAGTAACTCAAGTTATTGATCCAAAACTTCACCAACACTTAGGTAAAATCTCTTTACTTTCATATTTAAATTCTGAGCAATAAAGGGCAGCCCGGTGCACAAGGCATCCCGCATTCACGCAGGGTCTGGGGGCATTTTCATTCTTTATTGTTCTGGCTGTTTAGGGCCGCACCCGAAGGGGTGTGATGTAGACAGCCTACCCTAATCCAAGCATTAGTGACTGGTTCCACGGCTTGAACCTGTGACCTAGGTCACACGCAGACAATTTCACCGTTGCTCCAATGCTCCCCTTCATTCAAATACTGATCAATAAGCAAACGGTTTAACTTCCTCATATCTCCTCGCGAAAAAAGTAACATAATATTTTCCTTCTGATCTTGACCTACAGATAAATTAGGTGGAGGTGATTATCTGTTTGCTGTCCGGATGCTCATGGTTTTGTTCCGCCGAGAATTTTCCTTTTGTGATTCATTATATCTTTGGGAGGTAAGTTTCTTTCTACTGAAAAACCTCTTCTTGTTTCAGAGCTATTTATTCAATGATCTAATAGTCTGTCCTGATCTTTTTCGAACAGATGATGTGGGCACTGGAATATGATCCAGACTTGTTTCTTTTGTATGAAGATCCTGAATTAGCTGCTGATCAAAAATCTGAAGAATCTAAATCAAAATCAAAATCGCGCCATATTGGGAAATACGAGCGAGAAAACATGAAAAATGGTGGCAAAGCATCAGAAGCTCCCCTACCGATATCTGTTTTTCTAGTAGCCAGCGTCCTGAAAGACAAGAGCGATAAGTTGCTGACAGAAGCAAGAGGACTAGACGACGTTGTTAAGGTTTTCGCATACATAAAACTTAAATGTTATTCTGATTTCCAACTCAAGGATTAATACATACTTGTATTTATACTGATTTTTCGAAAAGTTCATGGTTTGCACCTTATATGGATTCATACTTTAATCATTTGTTCATTATTTGCAGATACTGAATGATGTTAATGGAAACCTGGATGCTAAAAAGGCTTGCACTGGTGCAATGAAACTTCACAAGAAGTATCTTAAAAAGGTAATTTCTTCATCGAAATAATATTTATAGGTAAGCCTCCTGCAAATGCGGGATCTGTAATCTTGAAAATAAGGCAAGTTACCTGCTACGGTAGGTAAATATGACCAGATGGTGTAAAAATTCCTTACATTGACGGGTGTATGTAACTTAAACTCGTCATTTATTAGTATTGGCATATTTACCAAATATATTAGCAATATATGCAAGATTATTTCTGCAAGAAGTTATGACCTTTCAAATACTGACGGTGGTTAAAACAGGCGGCCACCAACAGGTAGCTAAGCTGAAAAGACTGCTAGATGATTCATAAATCATGAAGCTCATGTAAGTAACCTTTGTTACTCTCCTCCTTTAACCTTGTGGTTATCTTTCGTATCTAGGACCAGTTCTGCGGGTTGAACTGAACACACTACTTTCGGCTCGAACTATGCATATACATGCAAAAAAATACACTATAAGATGCATTGATCATACTGATTCTGAATCCACTGATTCTAAATCCTGAATTCGCCTGTTGTCTTTCCGAGCTTTCTCAATGAACTTAACCATTTTGCTGTAGGTCAAGAAGACTTACAAGTTTGCCAAAGGGACAGTGGCTGCTTTTGTATACTGTGCTTGATTTAGCAAGAGAAATGTAAATTGCCATTCTTTCTGGTTCCATATTGGGACTACCATCATGTAAATGTATTGTTTTTTCCCAAGTAGCAAATGTGCCCTCAGCGGTTAATGTATACAGAGACACTCTTCCAAAGCTTGTATAATATGAATTTACTGAGTAGAGAACCATATTTATCTTGGTTGTGACTTGTTATTCTTTGGAAAAATGACACGTAAAAATAATAGCCGAAAAAATATATAAATTTTGTATATATATACATTATGTATGTTATACAAATTTTATACACTCTTTCGACTACCAGATGTAAATAGTTTCTGATGCGGGCTAAAAGTGATAATATCCCTTATTCTTTCACGTAAACTGATAGGACAAATATTATGAAAGGAAAAGAGTCTGAAAAATGACGAATGAATGAAAGAAAATAACGGAATTATGATAAATATAGCAGTAATGAAAGTTTTTTGTCAATCGGAATGATTTCTTGCATGTAGCAAAATTTTGATTGGTAACCTAACGCCGTTTCTGATGGATCCACCAATTTTTTTAGGCTAATTGGAGTCCGTAAATGAAATTCAGGAAAACCATCATGTATATAGGACACACGAAAGAATGGACATATTCGCTAATTCATGTTTCATGACCCGAAACGCCAAAATACGATGTTAGTCATGGGGGTAATTGATCACAAGGTTGTTTTCGATGGACCCATCAAATTTCAGGTCAATCGAAGCCCGTCAAATTTTTGAGTGTTAGGATCTAAGTGGCCGTGCATAGCACGGATAAGCTCCATGTGGCCGTGCATAGTATTCTTATGACCACGAAACACCAAAAAGTAATATTAGTCCCGGTGGCTATAGCTCCAGTGGCCATATCAGATGGATCCATAAAGTTTTAGGTCAATCGGAGTTCGTCAACCAAATTCAAGGAAACTAACATATATATATATATATATATATATATATATATGAAATAATGGTTAAATAACATATATAAATAAAATAATATTTTTCTACCTAAAATATGCAATATACTTAAAGAAATTATATATTATACATCGTGTAAATATATTATATTTTTTTGTTGGTTGTAATACAAACTTTTCATTCATTAACTAATTCTATTACATAGAGTAAGAGTCCCATTAGGCTCATTCATAGGTACTGCCACCATATTGTTTACATTAGGAGAGCAAGTTACAAAAGGATTCCTAAGTTCAACTAACTTAGTAAATACAGTAGTAGATACTAATCTAGATTTTGTGCATCCAATTCTATCATCATGGATTGCTTTCAAAATAGCATTTGGGGGTTGTTCCAAAAGAGATAGTGGGCTATTGTTTGTTTGCTTGGATCCCTGAGTGGCCAAAAAGTGAGCAACTTTGTTTCCCTCCCTGAAGTTACGCCGGATTGGCAGATTCTGCAGTTTCTTTAGTAATGACCTGCACTCAGTAACCAAGTTAGAATAAATGAAACAAGTATCATTGTCAAGTAGACAAAATACATCCGTTGCATCAGTTTCAATTTCTAAGTAAAACTTTTTTTTCATAAGCAAGTTGTAGGCCAGTTTTGAGTGCTAAGAGCTCCATATAGGCAGGGGTGTAGGCTATAGCACATTTGTAGTATCCCAAAATTCAATGCCCACGACTATTTCTTAAAATACCCTTAATACATCCTTTTTTATATTTTCCTTAAGGCCCCATCAATGTTAAGCTTTAGAGAGAAATTTGTTGGGGGGAGCCATTTGATAGAGATGGTAGTAGTTGGAGGTGTGAAGTTTGGAGAGTTGGTACAATACTTAAATTCTTTGCAGCGCATGATAACTAGGTCAAGCGGTAGCTGATTTCATTTATTGTTAAAAGAGTTGTTATTTCTTTTAAGCCACTGGTTCCAAATAGCAAATGGAAAGAAAATATCCCAAGAGATATCCCATTGTTCCAATGCTATGTTGGAATCTTTTAAAATAGAGAGCCAATGATCGGAGTTCTGGTGAAGGGGAAGAAAATTGAGATGCGCATCGCTCCAAAATTTGATAGCTATGGGGCATTCGAAGAACACATGTGTAATTGTCTCCTCCGCTCCCTTGCATATAGAACAGAGGATGTCAATGTTGAGTCCAATTTGATGTAAATAACTTTGGGTGGGGAGTCGATTATAGGAACATTGCCAAAGGAAGTATTTAATTTTATGGAGCGTGTTGAGCTTCCAGATCCATTGGAACTTAAAATTATTGGCATGCGGCGAGGAGATAAGCTTACGCGTAGAGTTGGTGGAAAAGGTACCGTTTGAGGTATGAGCCCAAGTGGGGATATCTCTAGTGTTATTGAGGGAGTCAAGATTGATGGAGAGGATTATGGTCTTTATTTCCGTAGGCAGAGTAAAAGATAGTTTTGTGAGATCCCAATTGTTTGTCGTCCAAAGATCTTTGACTTTGAGGTTTGGTCATTATAGTTTATCGGTCCCTGGATGATGGTATTTAGAGGTGGGAGCCCCGGGATCCATGCAGAGGACCAGCAGTTAATGTTACCTGGACCAATAATCCAATGCAGACCTTGGTTACAGATTTTCCAACCTGCTAGAATGTTATTCCAGATGAAAGAACTAGAGGTGTGGTTTCTCTTATGGCTGTACTTAGTTATAAGAGTTGTGGCGCATATAGGGCTAGGATTGTTGAAGAGTCTCCAGGAGAGACTGACTAGGGTACCAGGTTTTTATCAGCCGCTTTTCTGAGTCCCAACCCCCCGCATGCTTTGGCTGAGTGACCGTGGAACATTTGATATAATGAATTCTCCTTTTCAGAGTGGTGGATCCCCAGATAAAGTCTCTTTGGATTTTATCAATTTGCCTTAGAGTGGAGGCGGGGAGCATGATATATTGCATTACATGGTTTGGGATGGCATTGAGGGTTGATCTGGCAAGGGTTGTTCTTCCTGCAATTGACAGAAAGTTTGTTTTCCAACTGGCAAGCTTTGTGTTCATGTTATCAATGATGTAGCGAACATCGGATGCTTTGGGTTTGCGAGTGAGGATAGGGAAACCCAAGTATTTACCAAATTTTTCACTGAATCGAATGTTGAGAATATTTGCAAGGTGATTTTTGGTTTGAATATCACAATTTCGTGAGAAGATGATTTTTGATTTAAAATTGTTGATTTTTTGGCCCGAGAGTTGGGAGAAGAATAGGTGGCTATCCTTTATTGTGTGGATGGACTTTAAGTTGGCATTGGCAGAGAGCATTAAGTCATCTGCATAGAACAGATGAGAGAGGAGGGCCGGTGGGATTGAGCTTTATCGGGTCCCAAAGCCCAATATTAACTTGGTAATTTATGTACTTGACAATAGTTCCATGCAAAGGATAAAGAGATATGGAGACATTGGATCGCCTTCTCGAATGCCTCGTGAGGGTTCGAAAAATTCTATTTTGGAACCATTGACTAGGATAGCAATTCTAGAAGTGGTAACGCTGCTCATAATAAGTTTAGTGACACACGAGGGGAATTTGAAGAAGAGTAAAGCACGGTATATGAAGGACCATTCAAGTCTGTCAAAAGCTTTTTCTAAGTCAATTTTTAGGAGGACTTTCCCGTGGCGACCTCTAATTTTTTGGAAGTGATCTATTATTTCTTGAATAATAATTGCGTTATCACTAATTCTTCTACCTTTCAGGAAGCTAGATTGGTATGGGCCAATTAATTTTATAAGAAAGGGCTTGATTCTGTTCACAATAATTTTCGTAATAACCTTATAGATGGTGTTACAGAGGCCTATCGGGCGGAAAATGTTGAGGTTATTTGCGTTGTGAAATTTTGGAATGAGACAGATGTAGGTAGAGTTAAGAGTTTCAGAAATTGAAAGATTCTTGAAAATATTATGGCAGAAGGTTAGCACCGGATTCCTAACTATGTGCCAATATCTTTGATAAAAAAAGGGTGAATGTCGTCTGGGCCAGGAGCCTTAAAGGGTTTGAAGGAGAAAATCGCACGGGAAACTTCATAATCCTTTAAGGGGTAATCCAAGGAGGAGAGGTCTAAGTTGTCAAAACAGGTTTGAGAATTTTGGATATTTCACAGAGGTGTTTCTATATGATCCGTTTGAAAGGCCATTTGGAAATGATGGGAAGTATGACTTAGAATTTGAACTGGATCATAAATCCAATTACCCTCGCTATCTTTAAAGAAGGAGATGTTATTTTTTCTTCTACAATTTACTATACTTAGGTGGAAGAATTTTGTATTGGCGTCCCCATCATTGAGCCAGTTTAAGCGGGAATGAATTTTTCAATAGTCTTCCTCTATTTTTAGGATGTTGTTATATTCTGATATTAGATCATTTTCTAGAAGGTGTAGGAATTGGCTACTTGGTACTTTGGGGAGGATTGGAATCCTTGCAGTCTTGCAAGGATTCTTTTTTTCTTCTTATTAGAGTCTCCGAAGGTGGCTTTTGACCAAAGGGTGACTCTATGTTGAAAAAAATATGTTGCTTCAAGGAGGTGCCTATCTTGCCAGGAGTTTTTGACAATAGTTTCAAACTCCGTGTGATAACACCAGTAGGTTTCTAGCCTAAACAGTTTTTTTCTAAAAGGAGGCCCCGCTCTTTTAAATTGAAGAAGAATTGGGGCATGATCTGAGTGGGTTCTCGGGAGGTGGGTGATGAAGGCATCAGGGTGTTGGTTGATCCACATGGTGTTGGCAAAATATCTATCTAGTCGTTCCAAAATTAGACCACCGGAATTAATTCTGCGATTAGTCTAAGTGTATTTTGCACCTTTAAAACCTAGGTCTATTAAGTTGCAATAGTTCACACAAGACCAAAAACGAGAAGAGCGATTAGAATTAATAGGTCTGCCTCCCCATTTTTCATTTTGGGATAGGATTTCATTAAAATCCCCTCCAACTAGCCACGACCCTTGAAAATTATCAGCTATGGTACAAAGGCTATTCCAAAGGATTTTACGCATATTAAGACATGTACTAGCATATAAGATACTAACAAGATAGGGAGGTTGGCAGGAGATACCTGGAGCATGGCATGGATTTCTTGGTGGGATCTGCTAACTAGGTTTAGAGTAACTAAGTTCCCGTACCAAAGCACTACAATTCCTCTAGCATGGCCTACAGCTAGGACCTTCAGCATGTCAGTAAAGTGGAACTCATCACGAAGCGGTGAATGATCAACCATTTTGGTTTCCA